GCATGGAAAGAATGCAACAAGACCAAAAACGGAAGCTCGACCTGATATTGCTACATTCTTTCGTCTATCTCGGTCGTAATTAAAGATAGTGTTATAATTTCGCAGCCAAGAATAATATCTTTTTTTGAATTGTTTATTTATAACAAAGGCTCGATTTCTTCTCCTTAAAGAAAAATCTTTACATTTTACATTTCTGAGCACATCCGTTTTTGAGAAGTTGTCTTGTAGACATCCTCTTCAGCCCTCAAGACATTGGAAGGGCACACTCCACGCACCCACGCATTGCGTGGTACACCCTCACGCTAAGCAGCTCGATTTACTACGTGACTAGCTTAGGGCATCTAATTTTACAACGGAAACGATGTTATCAAAACATCTCGTCTTCGTTTTGATTAGAATGAATCTCAGCTAAAATCTTTCAAATCATTCAAAAACGCCGCTATAATTAATATTATGGTTGAAATTTTAAATCTTAGCGAGTTGAAAATTGTTGCGTCCCTCAAAGCGATTCAGTTTATCAGTTTATAATTAAACCGTGGACTGGACTTACGTCTACGGACCATCGGATTAGTGTAATCTGGGAACCTGCATGGGGTCTTTTATTAGACCTACAGTGTTTGTTCAAATAATCTTTTATACTTGACCAAGCTAAATTATATTAGTTACCTAATGAATCAAGTGGATTTTGCAAAACGAAATAACTAGACACGGCATAAGTTGTATTTGCGTCTAGCCTGATAACAAGGAAAATCATCCGCAAAATTCAAGGTCGAAATTATTTAGAAACGTCTCAGACAATGAGACTTTGAAGTCGTCAATCCAACATATCAAGATATACTCTGGTTATGTTACCACAAACTCTATACAGTTAAAAAGTATTAACACAGTGGCTAGTTCATCATTTTAAAGTGATCTTATCACCTCTGCAGCTTAGGTCATCGCGGGATAACAACCGTTCCTTGTTTATAAATAAGTACCTGAAGTACAAATATTAAGTGCTGGATGGGCGGAACTGGGAAGACCTGTATAAAACAGTAACGAGAGCACGGATCCGGTTTTTAAATTCGAAATTCGATTTTTGAATAAAAAATTCGATTTTCAAGACGTCTAAGCAAAACTATTTGTCAATAGCTGTATTAGCCATTGCAGCCTCTAAAGATTCAATTGTTTGGTATTGTCACATTTGTTTTCAGTCTCACATAGTTCAAAATATCGCAAGCTGTACTCATAAAATTAATTATAATTGTTCTATTCGTATCCCTCTCACTCAAGTAACGCGAAGCGAAAGTCACGACCGGCGTGGGTGGAAACAGGGCTGTAAATTTTACATCAGAAGAGAACATTTTCAGTGGCTCAAACGCAAAGAGATTTGACATGCATGTGTTTCGATGTCACATTTTACCACCCACACTTTCCCTTCGAGATGAATTTTATTCTCTGGGACAACGTCAGTTAGTTCAATTTCTACGCGGTGGGTTCTGAAACTGGCTGTAAAGCGCATCTTACGGGAAAAAAGAGGTCTAGGAACGAAGCGATTTTTTCTCACACAATATTAGCCACTAAGTTACAAACATTCAATTAAAATTAAAGTCCAATACAAAGTCGGTGTCTTTAGCCGCTCTTATCGTAAAGAATTTTGCGACACTATTAATTTGAAGGGTCCTCAATTCAATTAGATTCATTTGTGCAAAGGGAAATTAAGTTGTATGCAGAAAAGGTAGGCGGCAAGCATGAAGCTAGAAGATATGTTAACTTCCTTGTCTGCGTTGTGTGGGTGTAAGACCTGAGTTGTAAGACGCACTCTAGCAGTCAATATTCCGAGGTCCTTGGTTGCTGGACTCGGCTTGTGTCCTGAAAATTTATTAAATCTATTTGAATTAGTCCGTCAGCGGCTTTTTTTTTATTTATTTATTTTTTATTTTGCGTACGTTAACTTAAGCTTCATCTCATTTGCAGAGTTCGATGCACCAAATTAATTGGCTATCGAGCGGTTATGAAAAAATTTGATTGCATGCGTGCATTTAAAATACTTTAAGCCCCACGACATTAGTGTTTGCTTGCAACTATTGCCGGAGGACTAAAAGATTGGAGTTGTACCAGCTTTGCATGCGTTCAGCGAAATTTTCACAAGTGTATCCTAAATTAGAAGAAAAATAACTTTTTTTGTCACCTAATCAATCTCACGAGCACTAAAGCACGTACAGTACATCATTTGTTGTCAACCAGCCAAAGGAAAACAAAACAAATCACACCGAGAGAAACTCTGAAGAAAATAAACAGGTCCTTGCACGGAACAGGTGTGAAGTAGGTCTTGATTGCTTCATCAACCGGCGGTCAGTGTTAGATCCCCTTTTAGGTAGGGGACCTCGTGTCAGTGAACAAAGCGCGATCAATAAGACAGATTTAGATGAATGTTTGTGGAATTTGAACTACGCAAAACAAGCTTCTTGGACCATTTTTAGCGGATGATCTGATTTCGGTTTCCGTCCTCAAATACAAGTTTGTTTATCCGCAACTAAAGCCCATCAACTGGCTTTAAACTGCGTTTGACACTCACTCAAACATAATCTACAGTGCAATATAATGATAAATACCTAACTTTTCTACGCAAAAGAATGAACGATATCAAATCTCTGATAGAGTCTTTTATTTGAGATTCGAATTGTTGTGTCCGTTCAGATGGCTGGAAAGATTTTGTGCTTGGTGCTCTTGCAGGACGAAGAATATTGTCCAACCTAATGCCTTCGCTGGGTAACAGAGGATTGGCAGGTTGCAATGCGGAAGCAAAATTGTTGAAATGTTGCCTGTTCGCTAAAGCAATAAATCGGGAAAATATACGAAAAAATTATTCTCTATTTTAATAAAATTAGTCCGAAACAAAGATTGCAAATAATGTTGGCACTCACCTCAAATAGGCGACTGCATGCAGTTTGAAAACAGTTTGGGTTACAGCTCAAACAGCGCGGTCTCAATTATCTCTTTGTTGATAAATGCCCACTTATAGCGTAATTAGCCCGTGAATCACCTAACGGCTTTTCCTGCACTATGTGGTTTCCGTTTCATTCGATATGCCCAGAGGATTAGAATAAAGCTAAAAGGGAGAGAGGAGAAAAACGGCCTTCACACTGACAACACGCTTGAAAGGTGCGGGTAAGCTGGTAACTCTGACAAAAACTGAAGTACAAGCTTTTATGCTTCATTCACAAAAAATGAATCAAACAGGTCGAAGCAAATTAGAACGTCAATACAATAATTTAAGATGATTGATCAAGGGTTAGGAACAAGATGATTAAAAGTAAACATCGGCCCCCTCTGTTCACAAGTTCATTGCTTCCCACGACATCCCGGACGGAATTTGGAGTTTAAAGAGATTTAAGATGAAAGAACTTCCTTCCTGGTAAAGGCGAGACTGGTTACCTTATGCTAGAAGAATGGGTTTGTGAAAGTTTTGGGTCACATACATGAACCAAAGAGGTATATTAAACCGCGACAAGAACGTGCCTTTTTAGCTGTCTCCATTGATAACGGGTGGCATTTAGAGCAAGTACCTGTGCATATTATATCAACCGTGCATTTACTGGAGAACGTGATGATATGTGCATACACGCACACGCCCCAGCCAATGATTGTGCGTGATTCATTTTTATTGTTACTGATATTTTAAAAGGGGTCATGTCACGCTAATTTAAAGGATTAAGGCCCACACGAACGTCTCTTACCTGAAAAATTACGTAAACGATCCTGTAAAGATCGTAAGAGAACTTAACAGAGGAGAAGGGGAAACAGAATTGTGCTGGTAATCAACAATGGAAAGTGAAATTTCCATTTCACTTTGAAAACTCTCCATAGAACTCGAGAGGGCATCGTTCGTTCCAGCTCAAAATTTTGGACTCGAAATTGGATTAATTTTATCAATTACTGTAAAATAATGAGTTTAACTGCGCGCTCCAAGTTTTCAGTGGATAAATAAAGTAGATTTAGGCAAATATCGCCAGTTGAGAATTAGCGTGAGAATTCAAACTATGCCGACTTTTTCGTGTTCAGTGACAGCGTCGATGTCAGAAAGGTTAATCATTTGAAGGAGACTAGACGTGACAAGATTTGGCATTTAGGAGTATCTTTTATCAGCAGGACAGGAATGCACAGCGCTGATTGCCGCGCTGATCACGCCATATCGGAATCAGGGATTTAACTGATCCTTAAGTATTCTTGATGGGGGAAAGGTCACCAGATTTGCGCAAGAAAACCGCTAGAACAATGCAAAGGGTGCAAAATTGATTATAACCACTGTAATGCTAAATATACAAACGGGCGTGAAGAGCTTTGAAATTAAAAATAGGAAAATTGATAAGATTCGGAGAATTTTATAGGGAAATAAACAAGGAGATTCACAAATGAATAAAGGCTGATAGTTTCGAAAGAAACTGTTTGGGGTTGCGTCGGTGGGAGTAACGAAATAATTTGGATATATCAACAAAGTTGAAATGGTAAATTGGCCACCGTAATGATTACAAAAGCTGACGTTTGGGGCTGCGTCGGGGGGAGTAACGAAATAATTTGGATATATCATCAAAGTTGAAATGGTAAATTGGCCACCGTAATGATTACAAAAGCTGACGTTTCGAGCGTTAGCCCTTCGTCGTCGCTCCGACGAAGATATATCAACTTTGTTGATATATCCAAAGGAGATTCACAGCCGGAATATCACGATATCATAAGTTGTGTGTGTGACAATGATAATGATAATGATAATGATAATAAATAAAATGAACTGTAGTTAGTAGAATAGAATGGAGTGGTTGTGAATGGTTTAGATATTTCTGGTTTTCTTAAGTTTTCTGGAACCGACCATGAACCATGGTCAACAGCAGTTTAATCCTGTCGAACAAACCAGTCATTGATCAAATGGTTTAGCCAGTCCCATGTGATGTGCCCGCGCTGCAGTCAGCGGAGAAAAAGACAGGAATCTGGGTCGAAAATAATAAAAACAATATGGCGGATGAAGTTGTCCACTCTACAAAATTTTGCTGAAGCATTCATTTTCCGCTTTGAAGACTCGAAATCGTGCTTACGTAAACTGTAATATGCAAGAAAAATGTTTTCTCTACGAATTGTTAACAGTGATTTCTACATCGCCGACCCAATTCCTGAGTTCGATGTTTGTCGGTCCAAATTTCGCGGGGATGCTTCAACTACTGTAAAAAACAAGGTTCCTGTTATTCGTATTTATGGAGCCACTCCAAGGGGTCAAAAAACGTGTCTCCATGTCCACGGTATCTTCCCTTACATTTACGTTCCATACGATGGAACGCAGCCGACTGACAAGTACATTAAACAGTTTGCAACCAGTGTGGACTTTGCAGTACAGGTCGCTCTCGGAAAAGCTTCTTCTTCCCGTCGGCATGTCTATGAAATCACTGTTGTAAAAGGAACGTAAGTACACCAACTGTACACAGGATTACTGGAACCTTTTAATTTATTATTGTTGTGAAGTCTTTACAGAACAACATGAATGACCTGTTGCTATTTTTCAATGAGATGCAGGTGTTTAGATCTGTCTTTGTAAATTTCGAACCTAGTAGATGATGGACTACTCAGTGAGGCAAGCAGGTGCTCAATTTTTCTTTTTAAAGTGCTTCTTGCCCACAAAATTTTCTTTCAGTTGGAAGAGTATGTGATAGAACTTTAAGGCAACAGGGTGGCCAGATGTAGATACAGTTTCCTGTAACTATAGGATTAAAGAGTTTTCTCAAGATCCCTGAGGGGAACTCAAAATAATGCAGAGGCCAGCCATCCCTGTAAAAATAGTCTGTTGACCCTTTTACCCTTAAGAGTGACTAGCACCTAATTTCTCCTTACCTATCACCCCTGAATCACATATGCAGGTCACGAGAATAAAGGAAATGATCACCAACTAAGAGATCTCTTGATCATTAAACAAATTCTCCCTGTCAGTACTTAAGGAAATGTGTGGAGAGCGGTTGGGAGAATATACATACTGGTGAAGTCATATCCTTTGTACCACTTGGAATGAAGCAGATTGGTGAAGGTACAAGGTGCCTTCAGGAATGACTTTTAAGGGAATTTTTTGTTTCTTGACTCAGATTCGATATCATTAGTCATTGTTCTGGGGCTCAGCCCAATCTAAAAATTTGATTTATTACTTTTTATCTTTGCACATTAGACCTTACTATGGTTACCATGAAGGCGAGAGAGAATTCTTGAAGATTCTCTTATACAATCCATTCTTGGTTACAAGGTAAGAGAACCTTAAAGTTATTTAACATGAGGCTAAGCTAAAGTGCACCAGAAAAAAATTGTCTTTTTCAAAATGCAAAGTTACTGGATGTAAACTTTTCTATTTGGAGACAAGTCTGTTTAAATTTTTTGGTCTCTTGCATAACCTGTTTGTCTCATGGAGCCCCCTTCTTCTCCCCTTTTATGAACCAAATGTTTTTTCCTATTACATACTAAGCCAGGTTCTAAACTCTGGATGTGATGTGGGGTAATATATCATGGCAAAACTGACAATCATTTTACACAAACTGGACTTAGAGTGATCAACTGACAACAACTATTCACTTGACTCTGATGATGACTTCCACTCAGGTTGTCGAAACATCAGTCACCAACACCGACAACAGTCCTTCTCAGGACTACACTCACCTGGACGATCAGACTACACTATCACTCTGGTAATACAGTTGCTATCATTCAAGTTCTATAACATTATTGGTATAACTGATTAAGTTATATTCAATTTAAAGGGTTGTTAGCCTTCTTCAGAATGGAGCAATCATGAATAAAGTATTTCAACCTCATGAAGCTCATATTCCTTATATGTTGCAGGTAATTAAATGTGATGTCATGCATCTTTAGCTTATTTGTCACTTTAGATGGTAGCTGTGTCATGGCAATAATAATTCTAGATAACTGATAAAGTATTTCAACCTCATAAAGCTCGCATTCCTATATACTGCAAATAAATAATTGTGATATTATGTATCTTTAGCATATTTGTCTTGTTATATGTTAGCTGTGTCATGACAATAATAATTTTAGTAAGTAACTGAAAATTTTCCTTTTAGTTTTTTATGGACTACAACCTTTATGGAATGAACCTGATTCATGCTTCTGGTGTCAAGTTCAGAGCCCCTGTCAGGCTTGTAGCAGGTGTGTATTTTTGTCGCAAAACGAGACTAGTTCAGTTCACTGGCAAAGAATAAATTGCCCAAAAAGATTCAATACTATATGTTTTTTCCAGGGGAAGCTGAAACAATTCCTTCTCCATCGAGCAAGAAGATAACATCATCTCAACCAACTCAGACATGTTCTTCACCTCTAACCCAAGTATGGGATGAAGACACTGTATTCAAGTGAGGCATAGTTTGATAATTATCAATATCATTTCTGTTTCCAGCTGTTCTTCTACAGGGATTGTCACGAGGAACAAGTAGGTGGCTGAAATCTGCTAGCAGTTGGACTTTTTTGTGTTGGCTACTTTGTGACCTGTGATCAAAGACAGATATAACATCAATATCTGGTTAACAAAAGCTACTCAAATATTGCCCATAGTGCTAGAAATCGCATCTAAAAGAGTTTGAATTTTTAAACTTATCCAGGGGACCATGCCTCTGCACCCCAGAAGGGTGTGTTGCTTTGTTTCACAACATGTTCACTACACAAGAATAATTCAGTTCAATCACCCACTCAGTTCAGATTACACACCTAGTGCGTTTTCTACTGACAACCACTTAAATTTATAACCTAGCCCCTAAACTTTCCAATAAAAACCTAAGTCAACGGATACTTGCTCAATGATAACAAGAATGAAGGTATTGGAGACAATACCCATGCCATCATTGTTGTAATCATCAATGTCAGAGGCCTGCTTCCTAATAGTTAAGAACAAGGACCATTTCATAAATTTTGTCATATAAGCTGAGCTCAATCTCTCCAAATACTATAAATTTTTTTTTGACTTTGTATGATATGTTCAAGGGACTGGGTTTTGGGGTCCAACATCGAAAGACTGAGCTTCTGTGAATTGGAGGTTGACATGCTGGCTACTGACATTCTTAACAAGCAGGAGATAGGAGGTATCTTTTTTTTTTTTTTTTAATGAGGTTGACACAACTGGCCACCCTTCCCCCTACACCCCACTCTTAAAGACCAATATTACTCTTGTTCTTACAGTCAACATTGGCTCGAATCCTGGCCTTGCAGCCATCTGGGAAGATGAACAACAACGAAGAAGGGAAGCAAATGAATCCTCTCAAATTGCTGCCCCACCAACAGATGGTGAGAATGTATGATTTGTAATTATGTTAACTTACTAGCAGCAATTGAGAACCTAATTGCTTGTGTCTGCTTTTGCACAGTCCTTTGTGCAAAATATGGGTTTGTGTTGCATTTAAATAATTACGAGAGCAAATATATAGGCATAAGTTTGATTCTTTTCAGAAAGAAGACTTGTCCCAGAAACTGAGACAGAAAAGAATTTCAAGGAAAGAATTAAAGAAATTATAGAGGAAAGAGATGCACTGATGTAAGTATTGCCTATTTGCCACATTTCAATGATGAAAATATCTTCAGTGTGGGAGATGCACTGGCATAATTATTGGTTAGCCTCCAAGTAGGTCCTCAATATTAGCACAACAGGATGTGCATTTTCTGCCTGCAAGAAGATTTATAGCTTTCAGTTGAGAAGGTGGTGCAGTTTTCTGGACCAATGGCCTAGCAAAGTAAAGGAAAGCTGAAGCAATTCTGGATCACTGTAAACATTCAAATGAAAATTTTATTTAATCCCTAAAAGAAAGAGTATGTAATTTTTCTCAACAGTATCATCCCTGAATCAAACATTAAAGCCATGAGATTAAAAGACATGATTGCAAACTAAAGATCTGTAGCTCTTGATTGTTAAAACAAATTCTCCTTGTTGGTATCATTTGAAATGTATAGAGTTCAGTAAGGAGAATATGCATACTGATGTTGAATTGTAAAGGGTTAAGACAGTGTGCCATTTATAGGCTCCCAATTCACTGTCATCCTCAATTTTGACAACTTATTTTAATGTTGATTTTGGTTAGACAAAGTCAGATAGGAAAACTTGGACGAGAAGCATTATCTCCAAAAGAACTTGCCTCATTTCAAGACTCCATCTCATCCATGGCTGTAACTCAGAAGGATGCAGCTTTCAACAATGATTCTTTGGATGCAGGTGCTGTGCTACAGTTGCTGTCTCAACATGTTGATGAATCAGTAACAGCTGCCGAATCATCTCAAGGTGAAAAATAGGATACATGTGATTAAATCAACTACAGCTCAACCTTGATTATCCTGACCTTGATTCTCTGGATTTCTTGATTTTCTAGACTTTTTCTCAGGTCCCAATTTTTCATGAATGTTTATTAGTCATGATCAAGATCTGTAGCCATATTCTTTTCAAAACTACAGCGTTGAAAAGTGAAGTAAAGGTGATCTTCTTTAAGACAAACTGTCGTAATTCAACATTTTAGGCCAACAGTTCTATTAGTAGAGGGTTTCTTACCCTTGGCTAGATCGATTTGACACATAAATAAAGTTTTTCATTCATTCATTCATTCATTCATTCATTCAACATAAAATTTTTTGTTAATTTTAATTGTTGATACACACATGTGGAGCTATTCACATAGGACAGTGAAGATGTAGACCATATGTTTTTCAAAAGGATTTATAATGTTTTGTTTCAGAATTAAATGTCGCTTTCTTAATTTAATCAGTTTTTGTTCCTCATTAATATTCATAGTCTCGATTATCTGGACCCTCGATTATCTGGACTATTTCATCTAGTCTCAATGAGTTCTGATAATAGAGGTTTGACTGTACTCTGCCTATTTAACAAATGGTAAACATCACAGTATACACTATTGAGTTTTGGATGCACACAGGAGGTTGCTAAGCACGAAAGAAGTGTAAGAGTCAAGTGAGGTGATAGCTGAGAGCGACTCTAGCTTCTTGAGTGCTTAGCAAACCTCCCAAGTGCATCCATAACACAATAGTGTACACTGTGGTGTTTACCATTTGTTTTATAACATAACATTAATACATTGTAGCAAAAGAGTTTTCTTTTATTTAACAAATCTTACGTGACCAGAAAAAGCAAGCGCACACAGAAACTATCTTTGCATTTGCTCAGTGTACATCCCATGCATCCCAGCAGTGTACACCCATGGGCAAATGGTGGACACTGAATTGACTGATCAGAGCGCGTGCTTTACTTGGTTATGTTATAATACTAAATTTACCTGAGACACACTGTAGGTGTTAGTAACCAGAGTTTGTTTTGATTTTGGTTGATTAGTCA